TTCCAAAGTAGCCGGAATTACAGGCATGCGCTACCACGCCCAGCTGATTTTTGATTTATTGTAGAGATGAGGTCTCGCTGCCCAGGCGGGTCTCGAACCCGCGGGTTCAGGCAATCCACTCACCTCAGCCTCCCAAAGGCGTGGGATTACAGGCTGAGCCACCGAGCCCGGCTAGTAAACTTTCTTTTAAAGAGATAAGACTTATAGAGTAGAAGAGGGTGTGACTTAGTTTGCTCATCTGTACATAGAGCTAACAGCACCTCTCTTAAAAATCTGTTTGGAGGAACAATAATTATATATATATATTTATCATTTTAAAATACCTAGGACAGAGGCACACATACTTCTTCCATGAGCCAATAAACAAATAAGTACCTGGGTTGAAAAACATTCATGCTATTAAAAAACAAACTCTTCAAGTAACACCTGCCATTCTTTTTAAGAGAAACTTTCAATGCAAACTTTCTGCTGTCTACCAATGAAGTGATTCGCGAACCAAATGGTCCCATTTTTTGGCCTGAAAGGGCTTGTCATACCACAGTCAGGAAGGAGGTGGGGAAGGACTGAGGCTCACATTGCTTATTCTTCACGCAGCATGTTGCGTTACAAACAGGATTAGATTAAGAGGTTGAGGATGAGGAGAGAGGGGCTTCTAAATCCCCTAGAAAAGGGTTTTTCGCCCAAGGGGGTAGTTTGAGGTCAGAGAAATATAGCAAGTTGATTTTGAAAGGCCCCCTAACCATTTACTGATAAGTGCCCTGAAAAAGAATACAGTTAGAAAAGATTACACAGGGTTTCTTTATAATACCTAAACATCCTCCTCTTACTGCCTTTGATGTTGGGTTGGCTTAATTTTAAAATAAATCTAGTTGACTTTTTCAAAACCACAAAACCTCAACACAAATAAAAATTACAATGGGGAACTGAAATGCAGGCTCACAGTGGGCAAATTATATCTTCCACCAGTTACCTTGATGTGCTTGGCATGGGTCCACCTCACTTTGAGGAACAGGGAAGGTTGCAGCAAATTACAAGCCTCAAATTGGACTCCCGGATTTACAGAATGACATATGTTCAATCTGGCTTATATTAAAAGGGAGAGTTCAGGGCCTGTTGTCAAAGCTCTTCTCCCCCCCACCCCCCCCTTGATGTTTCTTAATTTCTCTATATGGGAGATGACCCCCAGCTCTGGGGATGAAATCCCAGGTGGGATCTCAGCAGGCGGCAGGGAGGAGGGTGTGCATTTGCCTTTTAAAGGAAGACAGACTGCCACTGCTTCCCACAGAACAGCAGCTGTTCAGGGACCCGCAGGTGGAAGGTCGGGGGGTCGCTGGAATTGACAATGTTGTTGAAAAGTGATCTTTTGCCAAAGACCTGTGGTTGCCTCCTGCTGAGGTCTGCCAAATTCCTCGAAGATGCAGCCTTCTGTTCCCCAGTGATAATTAAGGCTTACTTCCCTAGCTAAGGATTGACTTCAAATTATTCAAACAGAGCCTGGAGCCGTCAGCTGGAACACAAGCCACTGAAAGAAGCTGGTAACTTAGGGAGAAGTGGAAAACCACCTATGCCATTATTGCAGAATGTTCTGGAATCAGACCCCCATTCTTATCCCGGCTCTGTTACCTCATAGTATGCGATCCTGGAGAACTTTTTTGTCCAAGCCTCAGTTTCCTCATCTATATAATGGACATAACAACTTCAAAGAGTTCTTTTTTTTTTTTGAGTTGGAGTCTCACTCTGTCGCCCAGACTGGAATGCAGTGGCCGCTCCTGGCCACCGCAGCCTCGACCTGCTGGGCTCTGGCGATCCTTCCGCCTCAGCCTTCCAAGTAGCTGGAATTACAGGCATGCGCTACCACACCTGGCTGATTTTTTGATTTTTTGATTTATTGTAGAGATGAGGTCTCGCTGCCTAGGCAGGTCTCAAACCCGCAGGCTCAGGCAATCCACTCACCTCAGCCTCCCAAAGGCGCGGGATTACAGGCTGAGCCACCGAGCCCAGCTAAGAGTTCTTATGAGGGATAAAAGAGACATCTGTGACTCTGAAGAGCAAGTTCTGGAACCACAACATATCCATACCTACAGGTATCTGGAAAGAGCTTATCGTGTAATGGCTCATCTGATTGTTGTGGCAACTCTGAGGACTTGGCAGGGATCTTATGTCCATTTTATAAATGAGGAAGTAAAGTGCACAGAGTTACTTCAGAAAGAATGCACTGGGGAAGCTCTCAGCCAGGCTCCTGCTCTAACATCACACTGGCCAGCGTCTTGAACCACAGGCCCATAAAGTGCCTCACAATGCCTAACAAAAGTCCTAAAATCTTAACCTTCACCCCTGATTTAAGATACTAGCTGCTGCTGCTTCCCGTTCAGGTGTCTCCCCATCTGCTGCTGGGCCTACTTTTATTGTGAGTATAGAATGACGTTTGACCCTCCAAGGTATACTGGATGCATTCGTGAAAAGGTTGATAACACTGGCTATTGCTATAAAATTGAGAGGACAAAGGACCAGATTGTAGTTTTTAAAAAATGTATGTTGCTTTCTTTAAAAAAAAAAAAAAGTGGGTTGGAGGCCCAGTCACATGTGCCTTACCTGGTAAGACTTTCTGTTGTCTGTTGGACAGAGGCTTCACCCAGGACTGAGTACTTCAGATTTACACTCCCAAGAAAGCATCCCTGTAATCTTCCATAGACTATTCCGACATTTAAAAGTTTTACCTGTTCCCAGCAAGGGTTCCCTGCATTTTGCTTTTCTCTAGTCCTTGCTTGTTTGGATTTACTGCTC